TGTGTGTGTGTGTGTGTGTGTGTGTGTGTGTGTGTGTGTGTGTGTGTACTACGCGCTTCTGTTGGCTTGATAGTGTGCCTACTGTCCGACAGACTCACCTTTCTAAGACATTATCCCAAACTACTGTCGTAATCAGGAGTGCCAACTGTGCCTTTTTACATGCAGCCCAAGACACTCTTTGTATCGTTTCCTTTCTTTTAAAATTCCACACAATAAGAGAATTTTAAGCTTTCGACATGTGCAAGCAATAGTATTACTCTTACAGTGTAAACCATGTTACTTTTATTTTTAAGTGTGTTTCTCAAGATAGCATGACTTCCTGACATTGAACTCTGTATCTGATGACGATATATGACATGACCTTGTGTTACCTCCCCCACCTTGACCTACATACACTACCACGTCGTCTAGTTGTTGCTATCGTCTCATTCCACTTTACTTGAGGTTACTGGTGTCTTGTTACCATTCCTACGGCAGCATTTCTCTGGTTAAGGACTGTTAAACGGGCTTGTTTCAGGGTGGGCCAAAACACAAAACGGAAGTACCATTGTGTTTGAATGGTCAACAATATCAAATACATCTCGCCTCCTATGAACCCCCTGCAGTAGGGAGGTTACAGAACAGGATTTTGGTCTTTTACTTCCATGTAAGTCTAAGAAAGCCAATGAAAGTTTGAGAAAATAACCTTTACTCAATCGAGTTACTTCCTTTTGGAGCTTTCAGCCGCATCTCAAGGTCTCTGTTGTCACGGAGATGGTTTGGCTGTCATCACGTGACCTAAGTAGAGAACGTAACTTACATAATAGGTGTTCGTGTATTGGGAGAGGTGGTGTTTGGTAGAAGATGTAAATGACCTCCTTGATCTTTGGCCCGATACCAACGTCCACATTCAAGGACTTTTGAAGCGCGTTCCCGCCAAACTCGTGATGGTTTAGAACTGTCCCAATGTCAAATCATCAAGTGCTTGAGGTCTCTCCCGCGGACATTTTTAGCACCTTTATGAACACTTTCTATAAGTCTGCATTTCAAAATCAGGCAGTAAAAAAAATGTAGGAGTAACCTTTAATGATCAGTTCTCACGTGATTACCTGATGGATCACATATGTGCACAGAGCAGATGATATCATCCATCTTGTTCAGTCTTACAAAACGTCTTGTTTGCAATGATGCAGTATGTCCTTCTGCAAAAAAATACAATTTCATTTTAAAAGTTCATTTCCAGCAGCAATTAACTTTAAAACATTTTTAAAAATAATCTATTTTTTAATATGTTAAAAGATAAGAAATTTGCTGAAATGTAAATAAATTTAAAACAAACTTGAGCAGGAATGGAAAATGTAGTATTGTGCAAAATAAATGCCAGCCATTTCCTTGCCGTTTACACCTCTGAGAAAAAAAAGAAAAAGTTTTGAAATGCAAACAGGCTAAAAGAACCATGCGTGCCTACATACATGTTGCTAAAATATAATGATGCTGCAGCTGTCTATTATTCACTTTAAACCAACTGAGATCTCGAGAGCTCTCTCCGATTTAAGAGTATAAGTTTACTTGTAGGAGTAAGAATGAAGGACTTTTATCTTTCACTTTTAGCAATTTGATCAATTGGTGCCCGGGTGTTGGAGACAGGCGACGGCTGTTCCTGGTGTTCGTTCAGGCGTCACTGTTTTAACGATGTAGCGAGCGCGAGGTCAGGTGAAGACAACCGAGCAAACACCATCCACCGATGAAGGCCGTGAGATGCAGTTGAAAGCTCTGGAAAAAGCCAGTAAATGGACCCTAGAGTTAAGGTTATACGTCAAACTACGGTTTCTCGAGCTCAAGGAGAATGTTTTATGCTCTTAAGAAATACCATTACAGATCTTGTGATTTCCGTCAAAAGAAAATACCATCAATACGGCCATTTGTTTATCTATTTCACACTCTGCTTTATATACAGTAACCCATGAATCATTTTAGCTGTCACTTAAATCGAGGTGTGTTGAAGTCAGCTAAATAATTACAATCTTCCCTTCAGTTCCTCCGTTCTGTCCAGTGCCTAATGTTGAGACTTGACTCGTTAACCAGTTCAACATGACTGTAATCAACACATTTTCATAACAGTCAGTCGGCTCATGGTACATGTCGCTAAGGCAACCCTTCCCTTCAGTAGAGCCTCTGTTGGACACAATGGTGCATTGTGTCCACTGACAGGAGAACAAGATATCCCCTCTGTCCTCGGATAAGGAACACAATCGCCAGGCCGAATGACCTTCATTCTGTTTTGGACCCTGATGTCCTTGTGAGGGTTTCAACAACTTATTTTGACTTTTTTCGCGAGAGCAAAAATGTGTACCCTTATAGTTGCTACAGTTAATAGAGCTCCAAAAGGAGAGGCTGACTTTACTTCCTTCATTGTGCGTTTGAGTTACATTTGGTAAGTCTTGTTCCTGTGTTGCACTCCACCATCCTACTTTTTCACCCAACTTTTCCTTTTATGTCAATCTAACCCACTGCACAGATCTGATTTGTCTGAAGTTGATCAACCTTCTACAAGCTGCAGGCCGTCCCTTTGTGAGCTTGATGCACTAACCAATCAAACCCCCTTTTAAATCTGTGAAAGTACACCTCTTCTTCTCAATGATTATTTTTCATCTCCTTATGATCTGAGGCTATCCCGTCTATGCAAAGCAATGCTTCAAAGAAGGTTTCTTTTTTTTTTTAACCAAAGGTAATATCTGTGGCAGCTTGCGTCACACACAATCATTGAACTGATAAGTCACAACAGGATAAAGCGCTGCTGCAACAACCTGTCATATGCAAAATATTTTAGACTTCCTTCCAAGATACCATATACAATGTATGATAATGTAATAATCTCATATGTAAATACCTACCAATAAAACTGTTACAAATCACATAAAATGATGTGTGGTTTGTTTTGAAGTGAAGTGTTAGATCAAGGCTTGATGTTTATAATGTAGACAATATTGACTTTTGATTTGACGTATTCTAGACGTGTCTTTTTCATTTATGGTAGTACTACTCAAACAGCCATGGTACTACTGCTATAGCACCAATAGGACTGCTAGGTGGGAGCAGCAGCAGTCCCTTGATGCATCTCCCACTTTACCATTGGTCAAGTTTAACCGAAAATATCAGTAAAAACTAGAAAATTCAACTGTCTTTTAAGACGCTGCGGTGATAATGCTGGCTGTTGAAAGGCTGATTGCCGGCTTTAATTTGCTAAGAGAAGCAGCTGGAGGAGTATGAATGAGTTGGAAAAGTGGGAATAATTGGGTCAAATTTGGAAATCTCAATCAGTTCTGTGGAATATTTTCAAAAAGTTAAAAATGGAATTTAAAAGTTGTATAAAACTAATGTATGAAAGCTGCGGAACATTTCAACTCTTGAAAGGAGTATGAATTGGTAGATAAGAGGTTAAAAAGCAGCTAAAGCATTATGAATAGTTGGAAAAGTGGGAAAGGGATACAGGATGCAAAATTGCAAGTAAGCAATGTAAGTGGTTGGAAGGAGAAATTTAATTTAAGGCCTTAAACGTGATTCTACTAAGGAGTTCAGGGTGATATATTTCAAGCGTTTATTTCTTTTCATTTTGATGATTATGGCTTACAGCTAATGAAAACCCAAAATTCAGTATCTCAGAAACTTAGAATATTGTGAATAAGTTCAATATTGTAGAGTCTACAATATTATAGAGTCTACACCATGAGTCTACAATGTAGAATCATGGTGTCACACTCTAATCAGCTATGAACTCAAAACACCTGCAAAGGTTTCTTGAGCCTTTAAATGGTCTCAGTCTGGTTCAGTAGGCTACACAATCATGGGGAAGTCTGCTGACTTGACAGTTGTCCATTGACAACCTCCACAAGGAGGGGAAGTTCACAGAGTGCTGTGAGTGAAAATTAATGGAAAGTTGAGTGGAAGGAAAAAGTGTGGTAGAAAAAGGTGCACAAGCAACAGGGATAACTGAAGCCTTGTGAGGATTGTGAAGCAAACCCCATCCAAGAATTTGGGGGAGATTCACAAGGAGTGGACTGCGGCTGGAGTCAGTGCTTCAAGAGCCGCCACACACAGACGTATCCAGGACATGGGCTACAACTGTCACATTCCTTGTGTCAAGCCACTCCTGAACCAGAGACAACGTCAGAAGTGTCTTACCTGGGCTAAGGAGAAAAAGGACTGGAGCTCAGTTGTCCAAAGTCCTCTTTTCAGATGAAAGTACATTCTGCATTTCATTTGGAAATCAAGGTCCCAGAGTCTGGAGGAAGAGTGGAGAGGCACACAATCCAAGTTGCTTGAGGTCCAGTGTGAAGTTTCCACAGTCAGTGATGATTTGGGGTGCCATGTCATCTGCTGGTGTTGGTCCACTGTGTTTTATCAAGTCCAAAGTCAGCACAGCCGTCTACCAGGAACTTTTAGAGCACTTCATGCTTTATGGAGATGCTGATTTCATTTTCCAGCAGGACTTGGACCAGACCCAACAGTGCAGACGAGCTGAAGGCCGCTATCAAAGCAACCTGGGCTTCCACAACACCTCAGCAGTGCCACAGGCTCATCGCCTCCATGCCACGCTGCATTGATGCAGTAATTCATGCAAAAGGAGCCCCGAACAAGTATTGAGTGCATACTGTATACTGTACATGGACATACTTTTCAGTAGGCCAACATTTCTGTATTAAAAATCCTTTTTTTAATTGGTCTTAATTAATATTCAAATTTTCTGAGATACAGAATTTTGGGTTTTCATTAGCTGTAAGCCATAATCATCAAAATTAAAAGAAATAAAGGCTTGAAATATATCACCCTGTGTGTAATGAATCTATATAATATGAGTTTCACTTCTTTAATTGAATTACTGAAATAAATTAACTTTTCGATGATATTCTAATTCATTGAGATGCACCTGTATGTCGGAAAAAGTCATAGTATAGTATGTCATTAAAAGGAAAAAGTTAACAAAGTCTCTCAAAAACTCAAGTTGTAGTATGTTGAAAAATATAGAATAGTATGTCGGAAAAAGCCATATAAAGTCATAGTCGAAAAAAGTTGTTATAAAATTTCCAAAAAAGTTACAAAAAATAACCATAGTATAAATAAATTCTAAAAAAGTTATAGTATGTCAAAACCTTTCTGAAAAAAGTCGTTAAAAAGTCATAGCATATTCAATTAGGAGGCTCAAGCGCCTACACCTGTGCAAGAGGTGAGGCATGGGAGATGTAGTGTGGGTCACACCAGCCTTTTTGTGGCGTGCTTGCCTGCCCTGTATGGGAATGTAGTACCCCCTCAACTACATGGCCCTTGTGATGCCACAACACAGATGCTTCCAAAGATGAAAGGGATAAACTGGGCATAGGAATAAATGCTAAATGGACTGTACTTGTACAGCGCTTTTCTAGTCTTAATATATGTATATATACCCTCAATTAATGTTAATACAGGAAGAAGAATACAAATGGTTGGCTGTTAGTTCGTACAGCAGAAAAGATGGCAGTCATCATAGGCTACAGTGGGCAGAGGCAGGCACGTACAAAGAAATGTCTGGGCCCCTGAAAAGGTCTGGTGAATGGAGCCCTCCCCACAGAGCAGACCAGATTTTACTGCACATGTGTTGTATCCCAATTAAATAACCTGTGACATCTCCTCTTTTTAAGGCCCAATCTCAAAGTCCACACTCAAGAACTCACAGAATTTAAGCCGGGTTCACGCAAAGTCCGTGAGGGTTTAGGGCTGTCCCACTGTCAAAGGGCTCTCTATCACATTTTGAGCCCTTTATGAACACTTCCCGTTAGTCTGCATTCATGGGCCCAATCCCAATGTCCCCCCCTTACAGACTCACAGACTTTGAGGTGCACTCCTGCGAAGTCCGTGAGGGTTTAGGGCTGTCCCACTGTCAAATCATCAAGTGTTTGAGGGCTCTCTAGCAGACATTTTGAGCCCTTTATGAACCCTTTCCATAAATCAGCATAGGATGCTGACTTAGCCTAAGGGAATTACCCACAAATCATTGCAATGTGACGTTAAATATGGGGTAACCAGTGGACACATGGAGACGTAAAAAAAAGTGAACAAAGGGCCTGTCATATAATGTTTACTCAGAAACATTAAGGGTTAAAGATGGAACAAAAAAACACATGAAATCAGAGGATATTTATTTATTTATTCATCAAATATTTGATTTTGTCATTGAAGCTGTTCGGACAAAAACGAGTAAATAGATTATCTGAAATTACCTCTCATCTTGTGAGGAAAAAGTCTGGAAGACTTTCAAATCAGGGAGTACAAAGTATAAATTAATTACCCACAATTGTACATTTTATTTGTTGTCGTTTGTCTGCAACATGATATGTTGCAGCAAAGTGCTGTCCCATTCCTATTTACACCATTTAAAGTCCTCACAGTCTCTCGCACTCAACCACTTACCAGGTGACGTCAGTGAGTCCTTGAGGGTTCAGGGTTTGAAGCTTTAGGGGGGACATTGGGGTTGGGCCCTGGTTTAGGGGGACACATCCATTTTGGGCCCGCTCACACTACATACTCCGGTACAGTAGATGGCGGTATACATCTTATAATCACAAGTAACGGTTGCAAACTGCCATTAAAATAAAACGAAGAAGAAGGAAGCCGCAGCCTCCTTGTTGCTGTGGTTTTGTTGGGTCGAGGCAGAGCTGTCATATTAGCTAGCGGTTAGCTAACGCACTGTTTTGTCATGTCCAGAGCAACACAGGGCTGCTAACGGGTTCATTTCTTCACATATCCGCCTTTGGGTCGAGTCAGGGAAATCTGAGCGCGAGAGTACAAGAGTGAGATGAAATGACAACGTCAACATTACAGGTAGCTCGCTACAACTGGACACAACTTGGCTTTGCTGGACTAACGTGCTAGCAGAACAGCTGACGCTAAAGCGCGCTAATATTGTGAGCAAGCCAGTTTAGTTTAACTGAGCCTGCAGACAGTGCACTGCCTTGAAAATAAAATTAGCGTTAACGATCTATTCCTAACGTTACTGTACTAGCTAACTATAAACAATAAAAACAATAATATTAACTAATTCTGGTGTGGGTTATGAATCTGTATTGCTAACTAACGTTACCGTTTCAGCTCTGCTGGAGAATGTTTATGACGGTAGCAGCCGCCCTCACCGTTAGCTTACAGATAACATGGAAAAAACAAAACCATTTTATGTTTAAAATTTACGTTGTGTAGCATTTTACTCTGCTAACTATAACTGACTTAAACTACAGCACAGTGAATTTTGTTGTAGAATTGGTGAACTTTTAGGATCCCTTTGTACAACATGCTATATGTGTAATTTGTGCTTTGTTGATAATTGATGCTCCAGTGTTGACGTGTGCAGACCCATGTGAGGATGACTAACGTGTACATTCCCTGCCTTTTTTTTCTCCACCCTCAACGCATCTCACATCTACATCGCATTACATCCACATCTGTCCTCTGACTGTATTTATCTGCATCTCTGCTGCAGAAAGCGATTGATCTTGTGACAAAAGCCACAGAGGAAGACAAGGCGAAGAATTATGAGGAGGCCTTGCGTCTGTACCAGCACGCTGTGGAGTATTTCCTACATGCCATCAAATGTGAGTGCCGCAGCCTGACGGGCAGTCAAATTAGTTTTGTAACCCTCCCATTGGTGCAAACGTTGTTGGGTATTCATTCACATTGTTGTTTGGAATTTCATCTTTCTCCTTCAGATGAGGCCCACAGCGACAAGGCCAAGGAGAGCATACGAGCAAAGTGCATGCAGTACCTGGACCGGGCGGAGAAGCTGAAAGACTATCTGAAGAATAAAGACAAACAGGGCAAGAAGCCCGTGAAGGAGGCGCAGAGCAATGACAAGTATGCCGCCTCTTCTGCCCTCTCGGGGAAACATGTTCATAGTCTGTGGGCTCTGCTGTATTTGTGTCAACCTCTGCGTTTGTGTTCCGGTGTAGGAGTGATAGCGACAGCGAGGGTGAAAATCCAGAGAAGAAGAAGCTGCAGGAGCAACTTATGGGTGAGTAAACATGTACTATTGAATAACACCACGCTGCTTCTTTATATCTTCACTTGAAGTGATTGTATTGAAAGTGTTGATCAAATGCATCATTTTTTAATTTATTGGTAGTAGTCTGGGGGTCAGTGGGGTTGTGTTTGTGCCAGGTCTACAGGCGTTCAGTCACCTTGAAAGAAGTTTTCTTCCATCTGCATTGTCAATCTTCATCATGCGCTGCCTGTGTGTCCAGGTGCCATTGTAATGGAGAAGCCCAATGTGAGTTGGAATGATGTGGCCGGACTGGAAGGAGCTAAGGAAGCTCTGAAGGAAGCTGTCATCCTGCCCATCAAATTCCCTCACCTCTTTACAGGTACAGTTGGGCGTTCCCCGCTCTAATTCTGTTTTCAGCTAAAAATGTTTATCAACAATTGTATAATTTTGTGACAATGAAGGGGAAATACACAGCTGAAACTGAAATGTTATTTGGAAAGAAATTTTGATATTCAATTCATCATTTAGAATCAGATCAGAATCAGAAATGGTTTGTGGCCAAGTACGTTACACACACAAGGAATTTGGCAAGGGGATTGGTGCATAACAATAAACACTGTGCAATAGTATAAGACATAAAAAAATATGAAAATTTACAATAAAATATGGTAAACAAATAAGAGTACGTTAAAACAAGTAAATTATTAAAGTGTCAAGTGTATATTAACAGAGAAAAGATGTGCAAGGGTGTGTAACTGTAAGAAATGATCCTGGGGATGTAAGTGTCTGAGTCCGTGGGGGTCCTGGTCTTTATCAGCTCCCACTGGAGGTCCTGGGTTATGGTGGAGCCCAGGAAGCAGAAGGATTCCACAGAGTTGCTGAGGGAGTCACACGGGGTGATAGGGGCCCACAACCATCTCCACTGTCCAGCGTTAAGCTCAAGTTGTTTAGTCCGCACCAGGTCGATCTCCCACCTGTAGGCGGACTCATCCCCACCAGAGATGACTCCAATGAGGGTGGTGTCATCCACAAACCTTTTAATTTATCATTTTTTTATTTAAATTAATAATTTGTTATTACTTTATTAATTCATTTTCTACTTCGAGGATATCAAATGTGATTTGAAAAAGGATTTGCTACTTTGTTACTTTACTTTGTTACATTTCTGTGTTTTATGTCATTTTGTTGTAGCCTCATTTCAATATCACTAGAAAAAAAAAGTCACTTTAGATGTTTTGAAATGTCTTGTCAAATAGCATTTTAGCATTATCTCTTTTGGACTGTACCCTGGAGAATTTGTACCCTAGTATGTCATCATGTGACCAACATCACTTCTGGTCCCTTGTGTTCTCAGGCAAGCGGACTCCATGGAGAGGCATCCTGCTGTTTGGCCCTCCAGGGACGGGGAAGTCGTACCTGGCTAAGGCCGTGGCCACCGAGGCCAATAACTCCACCTTCTTCTCTGTCTCCTCCTCGGACCTCATGTCCAAGTGGCTCGGAGAGAGTGAGAAGTAAGTCTTTTCTATAGTCTCAAGCTGTACTCTACAAGTGTATTGTTGTGAAAAAATATAGCAGAATGAACTAAAGTAAATCATGATAAAATACATATCAGCATTCAGCAGTTATCACTCAGTAGCTGCTATTGTAAGTTGGGCCCCCTGGTCCTGAACCCCTCCCTTCGCAATAGGATCCTGGACCTTCTCACACAGAGACAGAGACGGTGTGACAGAAGCGAGGTAAAGACGAAATCGATGATAGTTGACTTCTCATCACTGGATCCTGTGTGAAGCAAGTCGGGAGCACCAATTTTCTTGATGTGCACATTGCTCATGACCTCGGCTGGTCATGCAACAGCACCGCCCTGACCAACAGGGCACAACAAGAAACTCAACTGCCTCCTCCGACTGAAGAGAGCCAGCTTCCCTCCACCTGTCCTGCCCACCTTTCTACAGAGGAACCATAAGGGAGCGTCCTGTCTGGTACGGGCACTGCAACAACTCAGAGCGCAAGTCCCTACAGAGGATGGTGAAGTCAGCAGAGTCCTTCTTTGGGCCCTCTCTCACCTTTGTCCATGACATCTACTCTAAATGCTGGCCTCCAAGTTTATAAAAGTCCCCTCCCATGGAACCTTCACTCTGCTGGAGGAAGATCCTCCAGACTCAGCAGCAGCTTCATCCCCCAAGCTGTCCCACTCACCAACACCCTGCTGCCCCCAAGCATAACAAGCATTTTTAGCATTTATTTACACTGCTTATATTTTTCTATTGTTGTGCTACATGTTTGCTATTGCACTATATGTTAGTCTTGTTCTGTACCTCTCTTTGTATCTTGCCCTATGTGCATTATTTTTGTTGTGCACCAGGGACTTCTCAAAAGATGCCTACAACTCCCCGTTAATCAATTCCCAATCCAGACTGGCAGCACTCTGTCTGTGCCACTTTTCACCTCTTTCACTCGCAGTCGCCATTATGGAGCCTCCTTTAAGATTGCTGTCCACGTGTCTCCGTGTCTCCCAGGCTGGTGAAGAACTTGTTCGACCTGGCTCGCCAGCACAAACCCTCGATCATCTTCATTGACGAGGTGGACTCGCTGTGCGGCTCCAGGAACGAGAACGAGAGCGAGGCCGCCCGCCGCATCAAGACGGAGTTCCTGGTCCAGATGCAGGGTGAGCCAAATGAAATGAGAACAATAAAAAAGCGACAATAGAAACTACAAAATCATCTTAAATATGCTAATACATAACCCTGTATGGACACAGAAGCAGAAAGTGCTGACTGAAGCGCTCTGGTTTTGTAGGTGTGGGAAACAACAACGATGGTGTCTTGGTTCTGGGAGCCACCAACATCCCCTGGGTGCTAGACGCTGCCATCCGCAGGAGGTCAGAGGTCACTTCAATACTTTTTATTTTGTTGGTGTTTGTCTCACCCTGACTTTGTTTTATTGCCATTCACATAAGCTCATTGTTTCCCTCGGAGGAGTAAATTCTTCTCCGTCAGTCAGAAGAGACTTTTCACTGTACCCTAAGTAAATACATTATGATTGAGGGCAACGGGAGCATGGTTTTCTTTAGTGTATAATCCCCTGTAAAGAAGAGTCCTTTTATATCTACATATGGACCGGGTCCTCTTCACGGAGTCCACCATGCTACGGTAGCCCAGAACAGACAAACCAAACACCTGCTCTAAATAGAGCCATTCACGTTTTTGCGTCGGCCACCGTAGTTCTGCTACACACTTCCGGTGGTATCTAGCAACAGTAGTGGTGTTACGGACCATTGTTGGATAATGCCGTTGGCCTCGCTCAGAGGCCATCCATACCATAATAACACTATTACTAGGAGCAACTGGTGCCTTAGTTTTGCACTCTGCAGCTCATGTTACCACGGCTTCACAAGTGTGTCGGAGAACTACGGTGGCCTTTAAGTAGCGTATAAATGCAAAGTCAGTGTTTGGTGAAGAGGACCAGCTCTTTTCCCAGGTCTCATTCTAAGCTAATGAAAATGCAGGCGATTATACACTCATGAAAACATGGTTATGAATATTATATTCCATTTTTGCCAATAAATCCCCCTAAATGCTACACACTGGCCCTTTAAATCATGTATCACCTTTAAATGATTAAAATCTGTTAAATGCTAAAAAAAGAAGTTGATTAAGGCAGATGGAAAAAACCCAAAGCTGGTGAATGTGCGATTGAATGGATCTTGTCAGATTTGAGAAGCGTATCTACATCCCTCTGCCGGAGGAGCCGGCTCGGGCTCAGATGTTTCGTCTTCACCTGGGCAACACTCCACACAGCCTGAGCGAGCCCGACCTGCGGCAGCTCGCCCACAAAACAGACGGCTACTCCGGCGCCGACATCAGCGTTATCGTCCGGGATGCTCTCATGCAGCCGGTCAGGAAGGTCCAGTCTGCTACACACTTCAAAAAGGTGAGCTCATTAGAAATCCTTGGGGGCATGTTAAATGTCAGTGGAATTCCTGTTATTGTCAATTATTTTCCAGTTACTATTGAGCTTTTTTTTTCTTGTTCTTCCTCCTGCAGGTTCACGGTCCATCCCGAAGCAACAACCAGCTGATGGTGGACGACCTCTTGACTCCTTGTTCCCCTGGTGACCCTGCTGCCATAGAGCTGACCTGGATGGATGTGCCTAGTGATAAGCTACTGGAGCCCATAGTCTGCATGGTGAGACACACACACACACACACACACATGAATGAATGAATGAACGTCACAGAAATGGCCAATGCTGCAGCTTGTTGTTTTGTTGTCTGATACAGCTCTAAATACTGGATCGGGTATCTGCGAGTACACGACTCCATGCACCGGTCTGATAGCACCTTATTTTTTTCCTGATGATGCTACATTGTGAACAACAAATCAGCAGGATGAGAGCTAGTTAGCGTTAGCTGTTGGCATCCGGTGGGCAGCACAGTCCTGGGGTCTCATTTATAACCGTTGAGTACGCACAAAACGCAAACGCTCTCCTAAGTAAATTACATTAAATGAGTATCTTTTTAAATTACATTGCTTTGAGGAACAAATGAATGGTTGATACGGTCTGTCCGTCTGTTTTATTTGGTACTTATCGATGTTACCTGTCATTTAAAAATGTTATGCGATAAAAAGTTTTTCTTAAATATTTTAAATAAAAATTAGAATATTTTTCACAAAGTCGCATCTTTTCCACACAAGTGTGCTCCTGATTACATGTGAGACCATGCTGCTCATCTAAACGTTGTTCCACAGCGTGTTTATACTGTATCCACAGCAACACAAGAGTCCACACTCGGACCGGATGGAGGAGAAATTGAATATAAAACACTAATGTAAACCAAAAATGTCTTGTATGTCCTATTCCTTTGCAGTCGGACATGCTGCGCTCTCTGTCCACCACCCGCCCCACAGTCAACACTGAAGATCTCCTGAAGGTCCAGAAGTTCACAGAGGACTTTGGGATGGAGGGCTGAGAGACAGAGCCCCTCCTCTCCCCGGGCCACGAGAAGGGTCAAACTGCTCCCAACAACACTCATCAACC